TTGACAGCTCAAACTGAGTCACTTTTACAAGTAAAAGGGGACTTGGTACCTTTAATTGTGGATATCTTTGATCTCTTCTCTAAAGAAAAGATCATTACCACACTAAAAACCCGCACAAGAAACTTATGAGAGCCCCCATGTTGGGGAGCAGGGTTGAGATAAAAGGTTTTTCAAAGTAATGGATTGAAAATCCATTGCTAAACTGAAATGAAGGATACCAAGGGATAAACTTCCAAATATTTTTTGATTAGAGAAATCAAAAGAGGTAACAACACAAACAACAAGCCAAGATCAACCTCACAAACCAAAACAGTCCACAAGAAACCACAAACGCCAAAATTACCCGAGCCCGAATGCCAAAACACTGAAAGAAGAGGTTAACACACCCCTAAACCCCAGTAAAACCACAAGAGTACACACGACCAAACCCAAATGGAACAAAGAAGGTTGCATCGAAGCACATCACATTTTCGGCAATACGTAATAGCAAGAAAGCCACAGTACATACTAAACCATAAACTTAACTCCCACAAACTGAAAAGAAGACTAATACACACCAAGAAGCTAAACATGGTAACAGGTAGGCTAAGATAAAAAAGGCTAAGAAACCAAAGAAGAAACCCTAACCTAATCTTTACCTTTACCGTCTAATTTCGTTCAATTCGAAATTACACACGACAGTGATGAAGTTAGCTCCGATTTAAAACCAAAACCCTTGTCTAACCAAATTCGATAGCCCGTAAGCAAAAAATCCTAATCCAAACAAGAAACCCTTACCCTAACCTTTACCTTTACCGGTGAAATTATCAATGGCGGCAATTGGGAAAGCTTTGAAAAGGACCCAAGGTTGTCGAATCCCATGACCTTCTAGTTTTGCCGATAACCAGTGACGATGGTGGCGAACTAAAATTCGCTTACTGCTTCTTTAAGACCTGGTATGGGTTAGCTTTGGGAAGAAGCGTCGCTAAACCTGACCAAAGACTTTTTAAGGATGCTCGCCGACGACCGTAGATGAGCAGCGTTGCTCTGGCCGGCGGCGGCATGTGAAACAGGGAAAAGGAGTTTTCTTTGTTGAAGAGAGAAGGGAGAGCGTTTATTTTTTAGAGAAAGAAAGGAAATTTCCTCTTTTATACTAAGTGTATATGTATAGTCGTTAACTCAAAATTATATGGCTGAAATCTTTATATAAGGGTAACCTTTAATTTATATACTAGTAATTGGTTTATTTGTTTTGTTCAATTATGAACAAAATTTAAGGGGGATGGATTACATGCAATGCTAAATAAGAAAAAGAGTGTGGAATTAATAAGTTATTGAAATTCTAGTATATGCCAATTTTGTGTGTTATAAATTGTTTTAACAAGTCTAATTCCATACCCCCATAGCTAAATTCCTGAATCCGCCACAGCTTATATATTATGAGTATATGTAATGCAAAATACTTTAGTTAAAGGGCAAGTCAAATTAAGACACTTAATAAACAACAAAGCGAGTAAAATTTAAATAGTTTCCCACAAGTTTTCCCTTAGGTACAAAGATGGTTGTAGCAGTACACAATAACACTTTATATACATGAAGAGGATGTCTCCTTATTGATATTTCGGCATAGGGTTTATAATCAACCAATGCCCTTTTATTTATCCATACGTAAAATTAGCATAAATACCATTTTTCATTTTGAACCATTTAGATTTCATGGAAGGTGCTAGCCTAGCAGACCTATTTACATAGATGCCGCATATGGTGTACGGAGAGTCTTGTTGTCGTCAACACGGAGTCTTGCATCGAAGAGGCGCACCCTTCTACCATTCAAAGGCTGCAATGGTCTTGCATTTTCTCTTGCATTCTATAAAAGGGGTAGAAGAAGAGACAATTTTATATCAAATTGAAAGTGTAGTGATTGTATCAAAAAGACCAACCTAGGATAATGAAATCACGTCTACATTATTGAGTCTTTTTATTGCGGAAAATAGTTGATGACCTTTAGGCTCTTCATGCACCAAAAGAAAAGAGCAGTAGAATAAGTTTAACTTGTGAGGGTTTGAACTTACATCATTAACAGCATCTCGCAGCAATTTCACTTGATCTTTTGAAACAGTTCCAAGCTGTGTTAGTGACAAGTAAACCATTAGAGCAAAATCAATGAATAATTGCCACATACTAATATGCTATGTACAATGTACACGCCTTTTATACAGACGTACATACATACAGTTGAAGCTCATTTGTGTGATTTCCGAGTTGCTCACATTACAGAAATTTATAAGATACGAAGCATTTATTATTTTACTCGGCCTTTATTTAAAAGAAACACAATACTTTTAAAATATTGACCATATGAATCTTTAATTTAGGCATCATGCTTTACATAAACAATCTTTTTATTCAACATGAACAGAATTTTCTCTATTAATATTTTCTATCTTACACCATTTCCTATGTATTTACTTACTGTTATAAAAATTACAAATCAGAAAACTAAAACTATCTAAAAAAAAAAAATAAGACGAGTTTACTCTGTCCTTAGGATAATATTAGCCCTCCCATATAATGTTGTTGGGAACAATAATGCTAATTTACCCCACGATTCTCCTATTACTTAGAATGAAAAATACAACATAAATTCATCATTCTCCATGGACATGGTATTTTGTGAGAAACGTTGAAAGTGAAAGAAGAAGATAAAAACTGATTTTTTAACACTGGCAAAAGATATATTTATAGAGATTAATATATATTATAGTTATTCATCTCAAAATAACTGTCATATATGATCCTATCCAAACGAATCAATTTAATTAATTAAAAATATTAAATTAACATAACCAGTATAGTTAACCCGCGCACGTGCCACGTGATAGTCTATGATTAGTAAATATTTTGATAAATATACTACTAATCATCCACTAACAAAGCCATGACCAAAGTCCAACCAAATAGACCCAAAAACATGTCAGTGACACATAGCACACACAAGTTAACAAAGTCATCCAAAACATATTATGCTTTCCATGTTGGAGAATATTTCCACTTAAAAAAACTTACACATTGAAAACTACTTATAACACTAACCCCATACTAATGTGGATACTTCATGCAAGTAAAAAATTAGAGAAAAAAAAAATGTTGTTTTAGATGTAAATCTAGAGAAAATTTATGAATAAAAAAGTATCTTAACAAGAAAATATGACAAATAAAATAACACACTCCAAATTAAAGGATAATCGGCCCAGTAAAATGGACACAAGCTAGGAGTACTAAATGTAACTTCACTAGCTTTTTCTTCTGAGTGATGAATAGGCTAAATAATAGCAAAACGTATAAAATTTTGTGAAAAATTATTGAATACATGCATTTCTTATGTATATTTGAAATAAAGTTATGGGAAAATATGGAAAAAAAAAAATAACAACATTAGCTAAGCACATTCTATTAAGGATATATATATATATATATGATTATTAATTAGCAGGGATATTAATTAGTGGGGCGAGTTTAAAAGGAAACCTGCCCCTCTCATTGGCCACATTTAATGACTCACTTTTCTCTCTTATTTATTCTCCTTTTTTTTTCTTTTTTCCTTAAACCAGTCCACATTACTAGTTTCTCTTTCATTTACCTTAATTTTTATACAAAAAATTGACAATTTACAATGTTATGAAACGAATTGGTGAAAATGAAATAAAATAATAATTAAACCTCTATTTAAAAGGGAGTAATGTGAATATGTGATAAGATGATTTGGTATGGTATAACATACTTCCTTCGTTCTGTTTTACTTGGCTGCTTTGACTTTTACACTATTAACTACTCCTTTGACCGTATTTATGAATTATACGTAAGGAAAAAGATATTTATCTGAGATCTTGTTAGAATCGTCTCAATAAGTATTATCAGAATTTGTAACTTTTGTACTTTTTACTCATAGAGAAATAAAGTTATTAATGGTTAAAATTGTGCATCAACAAACTTTATAAAAGAAACAAATCAAGTAAAAAAGAATAAAAAACGTATAACAAAGACTATTTTGTCTATTCTCCATTAAATTCTGCACGAACTAACTTAATTTATAAGGTATCGAGAAGGATTGATAAAAAAAAAAGTCGCTCTCAAAGCCTTTATTGTTTAATTTGTTTAGTTGAACCGGTCATTAGATTTATTATCTATGTTCATTCCTTGTTCATCTTTACCATTTTCATTATGAATGTTGAAGACCATATATAAGTGTATAAAATTTATTTCTTGTATTGTACGACTATCAATCTATCAAATTTAAATCTACTCTGTCCCTCCGTATTTAAATAAGTGAAATGTTTCTCTTGTACACATATATATGTCAATGTAAAACTTTGACTAGTCATATCTTTAGTTATGAATCAGTAAAAATTATAACGATTGAATGTTACTCCCTCTGTATTACAACGTATATCTTTACTCACTAATGGTCTCACTCACTCTTTATCATTTCTCACTCTTTCAATGGTCCCCACTTACTCTATACCATTTTACTTTTCAATAAAATAATTACCTTATCTACCCCACTACATCTTATTTTATTAAACCTCCTAAAACTCCTCGCAATTCCAACTCTAGCATAAAATAAAAAAAATAAAAGAATAAAAAAACAAAAACGGAGGGAGTAATAAACTATTCATTAAAACGATTTAAACAAGTGTCCTCAGGACTATATTTATTCTTATGTATAAATCACAAAAATTTGTTAAAATGAATTAGATGAATAATGTAAAAAATCAAAACGTTTTATTTATTTAAATACAAAAAGAGTTCCTAAATAAAGAGAGGTTTACATTTTTAATTATTTTATATATTTGTATGGCATTCAGTTCTCTTAAATTCTTATTCACATTTCTTTCTACACATACTTGATACTTGTCTCATTTTGCATACGTCAAAAAAAAAAATTAAAAAAAAAATTAAAAAAAAATAAATAAATAAATAAAATGTTGAATTCTGTTATTTCCTTATCATTCTATCTATTCAATCAACTTGTGTTCAAATTGTTTCCTAATGACAAAGAATAGGTCAACTATAATTGTACGAAGTATTTTGTTTTCTTTATTTATTGTCAGTCTTTATGATCATTTCACCATTTTTTTTAACCCCAAGTGTAAGGGGTGGTCCCGAGCTGAGCCATATTGGCTAGCTAACAACAGTGGCGGAGCCACATTAGAACAAGGGGGGACAGTTGTCCCCCCATTTTCGGAAAAAAAGTTTTTTTAAAAAAAAAAAAAAATCAAGAAAATACAGTAAAAGGCTATAAATAACATATACTTACAGTAGATATCACAATATTGAATATGGTTTGGTGGTTGAGTCCTTAGTAAGGTTGTGTTTTGGTCCTAGGTTCGATTCCCTACTCTACTGTTTTTCAGCTTTTTTGTTTTTTTTTTTCCCCTACTTCCTGTTTTTTTTATTACATACTCTAATTTTCAACAACCTTTTTAATTTGATTTTTTATTTCCTATTTCTTGTTTTAGGATTTTTAATGTTTTTTCTTATTTCCTACTTCTTGTTTTTAATTATTGCTTAACTAAGTGTGCTTAAACTCAATTTTTTTTTTACATTTCTAATAAATAGATTACTATTAATTAATTGTTTGTAACTGTGTTTTAACGAAATACATATTAATAATATGATTGATTTGAAAAAGTTGAGTTTATTTTTTCGAATGTAACTCAAACCCTGGCCCTTCATATCTACCATCAATTTGTTTTAACGATAATTATTTGACTTTATGATAAGGTAATTAATTCGTATTTATCAATTATGTGATTACATAACAGGATTTACAAATATAAATTTATTCATTTTTGTTGGATAATTTTCTTAATATACAATAAAACTTTTTTACCCCTCTTTTTCCATATAGAAATAATTGGCATATGTGATTTCAAATAAATATTAAACAATTTAGGTTATCAATTTTTTTCTTGAGATTTTTGCCGAAACTTTAACCTCCAAAATTTGTCCCCCCGAATTATAAATCCTGGCTCCGCCACTGGCTAACAAGTCAGTATTGGTTCATTAGAAGTTCGTTTTGAGCTTAGCTTGTCATTAACAAGTACTCAAGTTTGAGCTCGGGTATATCGTTTGATAATTTGAAAATAAAAATTTTGACCATATTTTTTTCTTATAAATCAGCAAAAATTTATAGTCAAAGTTTATTGGTCAAAGTTGATAAACTTTGACTTCAAATAAGAATATGGAGCAAACAATTAAGGTATATGCAGAGTTAAAAGAATATATCTATATGACAAATGTTAATATTGGAACGATCGAAAATGTTTTCATATTAAATAGGCACATACCTTGGTTTCAATTGTCCAAATGATACCTTCATCACAAGGAGGGGTTGTGAGTGAGCCCATGTATCTATAATAACTACTTCCTTCCATTTGAACCTCTGATGGATGAACTGTACCAGCCATTATTTCGTCCAATGAATTATCTGAGATCAAACTTAATTCTTCTTCAATCTGTGATCATATAAACCTCACACTAGTCAAGAGAACGATTAGTAATATTTATTTGTTGGTTATTAGAAATACAATTTATATTACCTACTCCTATATATGTTTTATTTTTTTTTTGAAGGAATAACTACTCGTATGTTTATTTATTAATGAATTGATTACCGAAGAAAGGAAAGGATCAGGATTCCCAAAATCGTAAAGGAATCCAATTACTGCGATTTTGTTGTCTAAGCTTTGATGTACAAAGTGTGCCTCCAAAGCATACCTATGTTAAATAAAAATTTAACAAAAGAAAGTGAACTTGTATTGTTAGAAAAATATTAGTAAATTACGTGTTAAACAATTAGAAATAAAATAAATGTTTGGATTTAATTGTCAAGCTAAATTATTTAATGACAACTAATTCCGAATGAAAAGAATATGTTAGCCAATGCATTGCATAAACCTCCTTCCATTGATAGCATGCTCCGACGGAGAGTGCCAGTGGCATTGTTGTAGGATATAATCGGTGCCATTGATTCGAATCCTTCCACCTCCGTTCGTCCAGTCAAGCTACAAGAAGAGTTATAGCAATACAAAAAAATTTAAATTAGATACAATTATGCATAAGGGTTGATTTAACTAATGAAATCAACTTCTATTCTTAGAAGCTATATATCAATACGTTTTGTAAGTGGCTGGCCATGGTTGCCTCTTGTCAGAGAACAAAAAAAGCCCTATAATATTTACTGAGTAAACCTTATAACATAGATGAAATAACCCCTGTAACACTAACAGAGTAACTCCTATAGCACTAACGAAGTAACCTCCATCGTTGGCCACATTAAATGAAAGTTAGTGAGAAGCTAAATACCAAACACATTTTTTTTGTTTTTTTTTCCTGCAAATCAACTTTTTAACCACTCAATTTTTTATGTAACGTGACTCAATATAAGAGAATTATTACTTTTGATATTATTGTGTTAGTTGTTTACTGAAGGCAATTCAATAAGCCTACTTGACAACGTTACATGTATGAAGCTGTGGAGGTAGGGGGCAATAGGCTAATACCATAGGCGCAATTTCAATGAAACTCGAAAGGAAGGTGGTTAGTACATGAACATGAGCTTTAGTTCAATTTATAAACTTGTACTTCGTATGTTAATTAACCCTTAGATTTTATAACGTAGCCCGATTATTGATTGCTAAGATTGAGAAAGTTGAGCTAACCTTAACATCGTGGCCTCTATTTTTGAGAGTTGTACGACCGGGTTGATAAAACCTTAGGATCCTCTCCGACTCCGGGATTCTTTCCGGTAGCTGGGGATATATGAAGATGGGTGACTGTTTTTTGCCGGTGTTACATTTCGCCCATTCTTCTTTGATGTTTCCCCAGTTCTCCGGCCCCCTTTTATCCCCTGGAATGTAGTTGAATTCCGACTCGTCCTCTGCCATTGTTCAATAAAACTTTGTAAAACATCGTCAACATAATAGGGAATCGTATATGTACAATCTCAGTCTAAAATTAGTTATAGTAATAATATAATATTAAAAATTATACTATCATTGTGACAATACATTTTGGACAAATGAATTATTTGATGATCTATCAACAAGTTTCATTTAAGTATGTGACTTACCAACTTCTTGAGCTATTATTGATGTTGCATGTGACAAGAGGAGGACAAGAAAAAACTTCAGGACTGTTGATTTCTTCATTTCTCCTTGAGAAATAGAATAAATCGTGTTTTAGAATATCTTGAGCTTGAAAATGTACATGTAATATAATCTTTTTATAGACAAATTAGGGATGGATAACTTTTCGATTCAAGTATTTTACTTTCTCCGACTCTATTTGTTTTTTTTTCTATATGCAATATCTAAAGCCCCGTTAACTTCATCTTATTTTTTTTGAATTGAAATTATTTTTATTGAACTGAAATGATTTTTGCTAAACTTAAATTATTTTTATTGAACTGAAATTAATTTTATTAAATTGAAATTATTTTTGCTGAATAGAAACTATTTTTTACTGAATTTCTATTATATTTCTTCTTTAAAGTTACTGATTTTTAGTGAACTGAAATTATTTTTACTGAAATGAAATTAATTTTACTGAACGAAAGTTATTTTTACTGAACGAAACTTATTTTTACTGAATATTAATTTTTTTAAGATGAAGTGAATAGAGCCTAATTTGTAACTTTGTTAAAGACTTGAACTAAAATTTTACTCTCTTTGTCTCTATTTGTTCTCTCTACATTTAATATCTATATGATATAATAGTAATCAATTAAGTTATTTTATTAATAAAAAGGACATTTTTTAAGAAACCGTCCAAATAAAAAATAAGGCAAGCAAATAATGACGAAGGGTGTTCATACACACACATAATATCTTTTTGCGTGTGTGTGAACATATGATATTATGTGTGTGTGTGAACATATGTACTTCGTACTACGTAGTACTCTTATTGATTAGTCAATATTTGGATCATTATATTACATATATACACTGCACATATTTCATAGAATATGCACATCACTAGAAGTGTCCAAAATAGTACAAATTCATTTAATTCAATCCTATTTAGAACAACATACCTTCAACGATTTTTGCTTTTTGTATGGTTACAAACTCTTAAGTTAACCTGGTTTATATTGATAATTATGTACCACTAATATTAGAGAGAATATGGTTATTTTATTAATAAAAAAAGTTACTATATTAAAACAAAGGTTATTTTGTTGAAATAAAAGTCATTGTAGCATCATAAAGACTATAAGAAGTTAATTTTTTTTTTTCAATCACATTTTTTATATATTGGTCGATATGAATAATAGAGGTCACTATGTTAAAATTAGGATCACTATATTCAACATAACGTCGTACTTTAAGTTCACAATTATATTCAAGGTCACACAAGTTTTAATAAAGTCTACTATGTTAAAATTAAAGTTATTATGTTAAAATTAATGTCACTATATTCAATATAACGTCTAAGTGTATAAACCTCATGTGAATAATAATATGGTTAACGCAAGGTTTTTGCTTGTATGGTGCGATTGAAGAGGGAATGTAATATCTGATCTCCTCGTGAAGTTTCTCCAATCAGTCAACGACAAAAATTTAAAATTTTGTGTTATACATCATTGCTTGTATTTGTCTTCATCAAATTCATTGTTGCGTCCAAAAACCAACAATGTTAATTAGTTGGTGAGAATGGGACCTAAGTGTCTTTATTAGCTAATTTATTATTTGCCAAAATAAAAAATAATCTAATAAATAACTTTTTTTTTTTTGAAAGCATCTAACAACTGACTTTTTTAGTACCTTTCTTAGGTTATCTTAAATTTAATTTCACATTTCTATTGTATAGAGATAACTACATAATTTTATAGGAATTTTTATTTTCCTTTCTTTCCTACTCTGTTTTAACTAATCCTGTACTGGGATACTTTGTATTGATCGTCTCTATCCACACGCTTGTAACATTTAACATATGTTATTGTATATCTATACCTATCTTTATATATTATTAAAATTTCAAGACAAAGTCGCCTGTCATCTCTCCATGTGTCACCATCACATGATAGTAGACTATGACATAGGCATACATACGTGGTAAGTAACGAATGTAAAGTTTTAGTCATCACTCCAACATAGGGGTGGGATTTTTCAAATCGAACTGTGAAACCGTCCGTTACCGAACCGAACCATCACGGACCGAACCGTTTATAACCCGCTAATTTTAAACCGAAAACCGAAATGAACCGTATAATGTCAACCGAAACCGAACCGAACCAATTAATGTTAACCCGTTACGAACCATAAACCAATAACAAACCAAACCGTTTATAAACCGAAACCGTTTGAACCGATTAATGTTAACCCGCTAACTGTTTAAACCGAACCGTTTATAAACCGAAACCGTTTAAACCGTAGGAAAAAAACCGTTTAAATCGAACCATTTACAACCCGCTAACCGATTAAACCGAACTGTTATAACCCATTAAACCGTTTAAACCGAACTATTTTCAAACCGCAACCCGTTTAAACCGATCTGATTACAAACTATTTAAATCGAACCGTTTACAACCCGTTCCATTCAAATTGAACTATTTACAGCCTTTAACAATTTGTTAGAATTCCACGAAATATATTTGATGTTTAATGTAATTTAACAGTACAATTTTTTTTACTATAATTATTGATTTAAATTTGTAAATTTTTTTGCTATTATAAAATTAAAATTATATTCTTGTATAACTAAATTAGGAGTTATAAATTAAATAAAAAAATGAAAAAATTTGGCCACCCACCCAATCCAACCACCCTCCACCCACCCACCACCGTAACCCACCCTAACACCACCCCCGCCGTCACCCCAGTCCCACCCTAACACTACCCCCCACCCACCACCGTTACCGTAACCCACCCCTACCCCACCACCGTTACCGTAACCCACCCCCACCCCACCAACATCAACCCAGACCCACCCTAACACCACCCCCGCACCCACCATAATTACCGTAACCCACCCCACCCCACCCCACCACCCACTGTAAATAAAAAAACCCAGACCCAAACCTTACCCCACCCCATCCACCACCGTCACCGTAAATAATAAAAACCCAGACCCATACCCCACCCCACCTACCACCATCACCGTAACGTACCCCACCTCACCCCCTTAACAAACCCCACCCCACCCCACCCACCACCGTCACTGTAAAAAAAAAAAAAAAAAACCAGACCCAGCCCCAACCACACCCACCACCGTCACCGTAACACACCCCACCCCACCCCATACAAAAAAATCGAAAAAAAACCCAAACCCACCGTAACCCCACCCCACCCACCCCCACGAAACCCAACATCCTCGAAACCCCCCAACTCACTCTAATTGCTCACCCACCATAAAACTCCCTCTCTCCCTCGAAAAATCCTCCCTCCCCACCCACCCGAACCCAGTCTAACCGCCGCCGCACCCACCCTAACTCGGCCCCCTCCGTTGCCCACAACTTGAAAAAAAATTAAAAAGAAAAACTAAAATAAAAAAAGGAAGAACGAAAACACCTTATATATTAATCCTGAATTTGGCCTCGAATTTGGTTTTAAAAGGCCAAATTTGATCATGAAACAACTAGATCTAGAGTTTCGTGGTCGAATTTGACCATAAAAACCGTCGTGCGTGCTGCCGGTGGACGGAGACGGAGAAACGAGATGGAAGAAAGGAGAACATAGACGGAAGAAGGGAGAAGAAGGAAGAAGAAGAAAGGAAGAAGGAAGAGGAGATGAGAGAGAAAACGAGAGAGCAGTGAGCATATTATTGATAATATTACAGAAGAGGATTAAGAAAACGAGAGAGAAATCAAAAAGAGTACTAAAGAGACGATGGTAAGAGTGATCTGATTGGTGGAAAAGAAAACACACGGATCGTGAATTGGAATGTGTGCGATGATAGGCCGTTAGATGACATGCAAATCAATGGCTGATATTTAATATAAGACGGTGACACGGATCATGGGATAATGGATTTGGATAGTATGGTTTTTTTTATTCATAGCTACGTACTAATAAAAACACTACTGTACTCTTAACTTTATGTAACTTATAAATTGTAAGAAACACAAATGTTTGGAAATTGGAATTGATTCAATATGACATATTTAATGTATATTAGTTATATGTATATCAGTATATGTAATAAATAATAATGTATGGTACGATTGGTATCATACTATCATTGGTATGTATAGATAATCGATAAATGTATCTGATTATTAAAACTTAAAACAGTTGATGATCGATCTAATTGAATACTTCTACTTCCCCACCCGTTTTCTTTAACTTGCAAGTTGCAACATATATATGTTGCAGCCTTGTAGGCACGTAATCTTAAAAGGTGATTAGAGAGGGTAAGACAACAGAATAATTCAGCAATATAACTTTAACACCAAAATTATGGAATAGTTACAAACAATTGTCAATTATTACTTTATTAGACTAATGGGAAATTGAATAATCGTGATTTTAATTAAACATCCAAATATAGTTCTGTAACATTAAATTATTAGTTTATTACAATATCAATTATCGATTTATCGTATTCAAAGTACCAATTCATCAAATCATGGTTATGACGCGATCTTTAAAACAATTAAAACAAGAAGCTGATAGCCTGATAATATTTGATAATGAAACAATAATACATTAATACCTTATAAATTTGTAATAGACTAATATTTAATAAACAACAACAAGACTATAACCAAATTTGAAACATAACACATTAACATGATATAGAATGAATGAGAATTTCTGTAATTCTATATAATCTGATATCTGAATCGATTTATCGTATTCAAAGTAGCAACTCATCAAAACATGGTCATGACACGATATCTAAAACAATCCAACAAGAAGCTGATAACCTAATAATATATATTTAATAATGAAACAATAATACATTAATACATTATAAATTTGTAATAAACTAATATGATAATATCGAATAAACAACAACAAGAGTATAACCAAACTTGAAACATAACATATTAACATGATATAGAATAATTGAATAAATGAAGATTTGTGTAATTGTATATAATCCGATGTCTGAAAATAAAGTGACGAAGTCCCAACTTTATATAAAACGAAAATAGCTAACCGGTCAAAAATCTCTTAAAACCCAATTTCTACTCGATCCATTATTTTTTTCACCAACCTATGCCGACCCGCTAATGAAATGGAAATACTAGTCCCAACTTGATATAAAACAAAACGCGCTAACTGGTCAAAACCA